ATATATAGTTTTGCCTAGTCATATTTGCTTTCAAGATATCTGCTATCAAATTTGCACAAGTCAAAATGTGTGATAAATAAAATATATTTAAGATATGTTTAATTAGAATTATGACTACTCAGAATAATATTCAATATATCTTAAACGCAAATAAAAACTAGACAAATTAACTCAAAGATATCTAGAACTGTATTTTTGACTGTCAAAATACTTTTTAAGATATTTTGAGTTAGAGCCTCCAAACAACTTAATGGTAAATCTGACATTTATAGTCATACTGTATTGAGATATCTCAAATAGGTATTTTGCCTAGTCAAAATATATTTACAGACATCCTAACTAATACGATTAACAAATTAATTTCAGATATTTGTGAATCCGATTTTATGTTGATGTTAATACAAAACAACTAGCTCCTCCCCTCAGTCAGCATGCCGAGGCTGGCTCTACTACAGGAGCTCCTGCCGGTAAATAAGCGCTCGCAGGTGTTTCTGGTCCTCACACCGGGGCGATGGAGGAGAATAACATGAACTGTGTTTTCTTTGAGTGTCAGYGCAGTCTCTTAGGAAATGTAAAGAAAAAAGTAACAACATATTTCAGTGTTCGTCGCAAATCAGGCGGAGGAGACTGCGGACCTTTAACACCTGTGGCTGATAACTTCTACAGAATATCCTTCAGACATCAGAAAGGTAAGGCCTACTGTAAAAATACTTTACATCAGTTAAAGATGGAATTATATTTTTGGTTTTATGCCTCGTTTGAGGAACCGTGTCAGACAACTGACAGTAGAGCTTGCTTTATTTATTTATTTATTTATTTATTTATTTACCTACCTACCTATTATTTTTTTCAAAAAAATTCGCATAAACCCTATTCTTTATGCTTGAAACATCAACTTCAGTCATTATTATGAACGGTTCACTGAGCAAATTATTTGGTTTTAATATAAACTGTAGAAATAAAAGTAATAAAAAGTTGGACATTTATAGGGAAAGTGAAACTATCTCAGGTTCTCAGTCCCGGAGTGTAAAAGGATAAGTCCTGAGTAAACACACAACGCCTCTTTTGGTTTCTGTTCTGGAAATCATTAAAACATCAGCTGACAGGCGAGCAGGCTGGAAACCTCCCAAACAAATATGCCTTTCATTTACTGAACAAACTGACCTATAAAGAGGTAAAAGCTGCTTCTTGGCTATGAAGCTGTTGATTTAAAAAGTGTCAATGACTTATGTGGAAGACAAGCTGTGAGTAAATTACATAAATATTTTTATAAGGTCTAGTTCCTGAGTTTTAGCCATTTTCGTGTTGGCTGAGATTGATTTGCTGTGATGTTCATCTTGAACTGAACTGACTTTAAAACTTAAATCAGTTGTTAAATCAATGTTCATCTGAGTGTTTCATTAAAATTCATCTAACAGAACAAACAAAGACAAAACTTCATGCCAAAGTTTCAGGCAAAGATTTTACCAAATCAGTCATGGTCCTTGTCAGAGATGGGAATAATGCCTAACTACATRCCAAATTTAAGCTCAACATCTGGAAAACTAATATAAATAAAACCATTTTTATGTTTGAA